AAAAAGAGAAATTTACGTCGCGATGATGCACAGAGCTGAGCGGCGACGGTAATGACGACCGACGTCGCGTGCGCATTGTACAAAAATGTCATCCGGCCGCGAAATTATCGTCGCTGCGGGTCGTCGAGCTGCATGTCGCACCGGGACTATCCTCGGCGCCGATTGCGACCCCGACAGTCGGTCGTGACGCGACCTCCGTTCGACAACCTTCGCCCACCCAGGACGCGGTCGTGGTTTTAGACTCCGTCGTAGGCACAGCGCAATGCGCACGAACTCTCTCGCGATACCGAATGCGCAGTTTCTACCGCGTTCCAGGTTGACAATGGTGCTAACGCGCGCGAGAGGCTTCTGCGAGAGTGGGCGAGTGGGCATAGTTGATCACCGACAACTTCTCATTACGCATCGTAAATCCGTGCCGGCGCACAATTAACCCTCCGATATATATATATATATATATTTTAAGAGTGATCTAGAGTCTCCTTGCTGAAGACATCTGCTTTTTCAGGGGTTTATTTTATTTTACAATTTAATAGAAAAATTAACATCTCAAGTCCAGGTGATTTAAATGCCTGGCAATGATGTCAAAGTATTAAATCATCAAATTGTTAATTGGAAAGTACAAGTAGAAATTAAACGCTGATTGATGGATATTACGAACTCGCCTCACCAATCCCGCATTCGATCGGACAAGCGAGTTGCAATTAAAGCCCGTCTTCGATTCGTTCTACGCGCGTCACAGTGACATCGACTTCCGCCAGTTGGAAGCGTCTCTCTCTCTCTCTCTGTCTCTGTCGTCCCCGTTTTCCAGCGTCATTACGAAAGGAAATGCACACACGCCCGGCAACGGGATCTCCGCGAGCGAGCGAGCGAGCGAGCGACAAAACCTATCGCGGCGCCCTTTCATTAGCTCTCTCGACGTGTGGGACGTGTAATTTAGGCGACGCGTTAACTGTCAAGCGCGCTAACGGCGATCAGCGTCGACAGCGGCCGCTCTCTTCGGGGGCTCCCGCTTATCGATCTCGTTCCTGCCGATGGAATTGCATCGTAAAGGGACGTGAGGCGCGGCGTGTACAACGATAACACCTATATTTATCATACGTCAGCCCGTCGCACAAGCGGTTACATCGCGCGCTGATGAACCCGAGCGACGCCGGCGTGCGGTGAGACGTGGGCGTCGTCGTACGCGATCGTGAGCGGTCGCGCGGACGTTAACGCGACGAAATCAAAGTGATTTACTTATCAGCACGATCGCTAGTTCCGGGAGGGGGAGGGGGGGGGACGACAACTGCTATGATCTAACTGTTCTGCGCCATTGAGTCCGCGGCGACGTGTCATTACAGTTACATGGAAACAGCCGGTTCGATAATAAACGCGCGGTGATTCCGACGAAGAAGGGTGGTTCGATCTCGTCTTCTTATCTATCATCGCGCGGTAAAATGGCGAATATACGCGCGAGTAACTGTGTCTGGGAGAGTGCATGCGCGCTGAATATGCATCGATGATAACCGGTTGAAGAGTATTATCAGGCGGTATAGCTTCTTGATTAAATGTGTGTGAAAATTTTATTTTTATTACCATTTAGATAACAGTTGAGCATAATTTTCAGATTGTTTTTATATATTATACTGAACATACTGTTATTTTTATTATTTTATCGTGTAATATGTAAAATTAAAAAATTAAAAAAAAATATTAATGAAACTGAGTGAATTAGTATTAAAAGTTTATTTTCAATAATCAATGACAACAGAGCAGGATGTTATTCAAGATTGTCACTGCAAATATTAGAGTTTTGCGGGGAGCTGCGAAGCGCCGCGCATTCGAAAGTCTCGGTCGCGCAGAGTTGCACGTGCAATTTGAGAAGGTTGTCACGAAGCGTTGCATAGGCGTCTCCACGCCGTGCTTTCGACTGCCGGCGTGCGTATCGATGGTGCCGCGACGGTAAAGCCGAAGAAACGGTCGCAACTGGAAATAGAATAGAATACGCGGGGGCAGCAGATATATGCGCGCGCTCGGCTCGTAGCCTGTCGCGCTGATGACAATTTAGGATAGATCGCGGCGCATACAAAGCTCGGCATTGTAGCCGCCGGACACTGCACCACTGTACTGCGCAGGAGCATGATTACCGTGTGCGCGAGAGGGACGAGGGGGTTGCGAGTGCCACGGGAGACGCGTGAGAAACGTTCCTTGCTTAATGCCAACCACCCACGTGTCATAACTTAATGCCGTTTACGATACCCGATACAACTGGGTTACGTTCAAGATTGCGCTTACGCGCATTTTCAGCTACCGCTTTACGCAGGCATAAACTGTCATTAGAATGTCTCAGTCGGGCGTGCAGATCAGTGTCGAGATAGATTTGTTAGATTCTACAAATATAAATAAATTTAAGTATCTACGGAACGCGAAGCAATTCGCTATTTGAAAATTCGGAGTGCGCGTCATTTACGAGTGTGCGCGCGTGTTGCGCGCAGCGCGTAATATTACGCGTACTGTTATTACGCTCAGCTGATCAGTAGTATTGTCATGTGATCTATAATAGAACGTGTGAATCATCGGCTTCGGCCTAGATGGGGATCGTTCGAGATACGATCGCGAGTCGATAGAATTGTCAATATCTTAGCACAGAAAAGTCGCAGCGAAAAATAAGTTTCACTTGACGGCTCGACCACTTCCGACAAGCCCAGAATCATTCATGTCGGCTGAGTGATTTGCGAGATACCATCGCTTAATTACAAGAATAAAATTAATCTTTTCTGCGCGGCGGCACAAAGACGCGAAACAGTCACTACCGGCCGACACGCCGAATTTATAGGTCACGTGCTCGTTTTGCTCCGTGCGATTTGGCGTGAGAGACACCGTGTCTCTCGATACAGCCTCGATGAAACTTTTCAAACGTCGCATGTATACGTTTTCTCAGCAAGCGTCGTTGCTCGATCTATATACGCGCGTTCAAACGGTTAAAATGTTTCATGCGTTTAGTTAACTCTCGAGTTCAGTTTTTAAGATCTCGTAAGAAAACTTCAATACGAGACCCTTAACAGTTTTTGATTTTCACTCTTTTAACTATTTCCGTTAAGAATATACTCGATGTGGCAATGCACGATCTTGCCGTGTGTATGTATTATAGTGACTTTCGTATGCGCACGGAATTCTTTAACGAAATAATATTTACTTAGGAAATTCGACGTTTGTAAATACGATCCGGTGCACTTGTGTGGGCAGAGGCTACGGTTTCGATAAGCACTCGAAAGCACCGCTCTGGAGTGCAGGATGCCCGGCTAATACAGACAGACAATGACTATTTTTAGATGACGATAACATCATGTAGAGTCGAGAAAACTGTCGGTCGGCTTAATTGTTCCGTTCGAATTTCTAACGCGTACAGTTCGATACTTTACTGATTTCGAATACATTAGTTTCAATTGATGATCTAGCACTTTTTTCACATTTTAATATTTGATATATTTTATTTTTCAGCTCCGACCGCACGAAAGACAGCTTTACTATTTTCATACGTGGCGATTCTAAAGATAATTTGGAGTTTGTGGACAGAGTGTTGGTTCTGCTGCAGGTAAGAACAATCCCGCAGGCGAATGAAAACTTTGACTCGCGCTGTCGACTTAAAAATATCGTAAATCTTACTTTTACAGGGCAGAGTTAACGTGGACCAGACCCTCGTGTTTCGCAACGGCGCAACAACAGACAGCCAGGACGATTCTCTCTTACCTCTCAGTAGCGTCCAGGTGAGTCCGATGGCGATGAATGATTAAATCCTCAAACGGCATTGAGCGCACCCTCCCGCAGGCAAGAAAGCAGTCGGTCGTTTTTGTCGCTCGACGATCATTGATCCAAATTCCGCGATGCATTATATTTGGTTTCTCGAGTGCGTGCGCACGTGCGTTCCGTATCGGTCCGCGCTTCGTAATTGTGCCGCACGGTTTCCATTGTGACAAGAACTTTTGTCGTCGTGAAACGAATATCGCTGTATAAGAACGCCGAGAATGTTCGCGTCGAACGTAATTTACAAGTACAAGCATCGAACAACTTTGGGACATTATAATTACCCGTAAACATTTCCTTTCAGACCGTCGTCGTGAATGACGCCACTCTCACCAAGTACATTCCCAGGCGAAAAGAAAATCATGACCAGATGCAATGGGTCGCTTTTTACAAGGTAATTATACCTCTGAATGCTCGGATACATTTCAATTTAACCGAAATAACGCATCAATTTAAATTGTGATATTCGCAATATAATAATAATAATTAAATCAATTACCACTTACATTTGAACCATAATTGTTTAATTAATTGTGAAACTGAAAACTATACGAGCATTTTCAACTCATGCATACGTTGATCTTTTTCACGTTAAATTTTTCAGTACGCTGTAATTATTTTTACGATTTGTACTTCTCAGAAATATATTTGCGAATGCATTATAAGATCTTCATCGATATCTATTTTTGATAATCTACACGATTCATAGATGAGAAAGGATAAAACCACAACGCATTATGTAATGCTCATAATGATCGCAGATGCGGATAATATATCTTGGTAACATGAATCTCGCGACAAATTGTTATCGCAACTTGTCGTTCAACGTCAAGCAACGGAAAGCCATTTCGATCGGCTTAACGTCATGACGGTGATTCGGCAGGTTTGACGGAATAAATACACGTTGGAAGTCACTCGAGCGAAATAATTGTGCCGGGTCTGACTTCGGTGGCCTTTCGCAATGATTGTCGAAAAATTCACCGTTCGACCGTAGCACTGACTAGTTTGTCAATACACGCTTCAATATATTAATCTTTTCAAAGTTGAATTATGTTTGAATAAATTTTATCCAACGTCCAGTATATACGAAAGTTCAGATACTGACAATATAATTTTCGCGTGTCTAGAGCAAGATTTTTTTACAATATCAATGTGTCTTGTTATAAAATTATATCCGACATTACATTCGTGCAATTTAAACGAATCGCATTAGAAATAGATATCAATCGATACGTCAAACGCGCGCCATCGGTTTTATCGGTTGGTATAACGCGATTGGTATTTGCGCGATTCGATTCGAGCGAACGGACAATTGGAGCTAAGAAATCATCGAGATAATGGTTCGACGTGTCTGTCCCGCGTTCTGCAGCAGATATGCGTCACCCGTTACGTACCGCTTTAAACAATGCGCTTTCCGTAAGGTTCACAACGGCTGATCGATTACGGTTCATTGAATGCGGCACAACCGCCGCATTAAGCATGTCTACTTTTACGTCGCTGGCATTCCTTCCGAACGCTGGTTTATCGATCACGGACATTTCGAGGGATCGCGATAACATCATCGGAGAGCTGATAGACATCGATACTCTCTCCGCCATGATTGGTATTTTGATTTTCCGCAGGAGTACGACAGCCTAATGATGGAATGGCAATCGGCTGGTCGCAGATTGGCCCTCGAAATGTCGGAGCTGAAAGAATGCACAAGCCTGTCTGGCACTTTGACGCCTCTCGGTCGGCTCCTCACGGACCCCACATTGAGAAGAACGTCTAGAGATGCCGAGGAGGCCATCGCCGCGCTCGAGGAACGCGCGGCCCCGCTTCTGCACATTGAGAACGTCAGGTATGAGAATTTTATGTCCATAATGAGTGCGCACGAAAAATCGTTCCTGTATTACGTAAAATATACTGTTTATAAAATCGACACACTTTAAAGCAAGCTTTTCCATTCATCGCCATTAAGGTGCATCGATTTTTTGTATAAAATACGATAATTTTACAGAATTTATTAAAACGACGTATTTAATTTTTCGGTTATTTTCATAAATTTCTTTTATCAATAAATATTGATCCCTGTGTCATGTATAATTTATTGACTTCGCGGATAACTACTGCTGTTGATAAAAAACTGCATTAATTTCAGAACTATCGGCTGTAGTTAATTAACGTGCACGAAACTCGCGTCGGTCTTTGCATTCTTATGAAGTGTGCATCGACCAAGGACGTTCTAACGCGTAGATAAGGTTAACACGATGACCAGCGCGCTTAGTTGCGATTTGCGTTTTAATGTTTGCAAACTCGCAAAGTCAGGTGTTCGATCTTTCGTACGGAGACGGCTACATAAATTCCTAACGGTGCGGATATGAAACACGGTTCCTTTTTATCTTTCCAGATTGTCGGTGAAACGAGCCCGAAGACTGGTGGAGGAGGTGGGTAAGGCTGCCACCAGGCTGGAGTCATCGTTTGAGTCGCGACGCGCGACTATCCGCAATCTCGCGGTTCTGCGAAGCATCGAGGATCAGGCGCACGAGGTGAGTGTTACGTAAATTAATATGTCTGCGCGTTGTGTTTGAGAAGCCTCGTAAATTTTCCGCATCCGCGAACTACTACGCTGAGATCACGCTTATCTGATCGGCTTCAGTCGTGATGTCGCCATTATTATGACAAAAGACACTATCAACCATATTATATAAGTATACAACAATCACAGGATCTGTGATTTTCTCAGATGTATAAAATATACACCTATTTTTCATAACTTTGCATGCGGTGGCATCTGGTGAAAAAATTGAATATATCGATATCTTTATTATGAAATCGAAAACCGAGAACTACGCGTTTAAATATTTCCTAAGCGATAAAATCGTTTGAAAATTTAGAATTAAATTGTTTCGATTGTGAGCGTTGCTTAAGGATGGACGACGGCCACCGTGGCCTTGAACCAGAAGATCGTCGGTGTACCGCGACGTGGTTTGTTATTCCGCGCGTGCATGAAAGCCCGCCGTACACGGCCGCTCGCCCGACTCGTTCCACGACGATTACGCCGAAGTTATTGCACGCGGTGCTTATGCTGTCTCGCATACGCGAGACCATCCTCCCCCTGAGCCGCGTACGGTCACTCTTTCGAACGCGACTCGTGCATTGAATTCAACGAGTCAGCCTCCCTCGGTCGACAAAGGAAGACGCACAAAGAGTTCTCTATCCTCGCTTCCACGAACGAGCTTTCGCTTCGAAAATCGCAGCGCCATGTACCTGGCCGTCGAACGGTCTCTTGAGTCGACGTTCGATCTCTCATCGATCTTCCGCAGAGCGTTGGTCCCGCCGACGAGCACCGCCGTCTTGTTATTCTTCGGTCCTTCGCAAATAAGATAAGGCTTCGTGAGAGTATCGAGAGAATCCAGACACTCTTCTTATCAAGAATTTATAACATATTATTTATGCAGAGAGAAATCTTTTTATTTCAGTATCCATTGCTGTTTATATAAAATATTTTAATTTTCAAGCATCACAGACTCAATTTTTTAATCTAAATTTGATTAAACATTTTTTAGATACGTCTAGATTTATTGCGCTCGATGCTTTGCTCAACAATTCAAGCGATTGTCCGGTCAATGATTCTGAGAGACGCCTAAAGCAAACAAGTATTAACGCATGTTCCTCGTATTAGACGCGACGAAGATCGGTGAATACGCGCAATCATCTGCCCTTCCCGACGCATTACACTCGCTATTTCCATAATGACGACTGATTTGAGAACGTGATTGGCGCGCGTTACCAACGCGTGCGAGTATAATCGATAATGCGATGGCTGGATCGAGCGAGCCGATAAATAGCCGAGGAAGTAGCGGTTGTCAGAATTCGTTCGATATTTCTGCTACGGACTTTCGAATTTTTCGATATTTAATATCTCTGCATTATTTTTATTGCTTATTAGTTTTATTTTTTCGTCCGTAAAAGTTTGCAATTTTTTTTAGCAGTGATCTTTTTCTTTAAACGTCGCAAATATAATTTTACATTTCACTAGCTAAATCTTGAACTTATTGAAAATCATATTGTAAGAAATCGATAATTTTCTCGTAACTAAACGTCACGCGTAATAATGTTTTAAGCCCTTCTTCCCTCGCTGCGTGCAGCGCGCTTCGAAGTGCATGATTTTCTACGGCATTTGCGTTTGCGCCAAACGAGCCGCCATCTAAACGCGATTTCATGCGTGTGGGCCTTTAACGAGCCCTTCAGGGCGAAAACGAAATCGAGCCACGAATCTTCGTGCACAGGCGAATCAGAAATTACCGCGGCGGATCGCACAAATGCCGTCCTTCCGTTGATCGTTTTATAATTATTAATTATCCATCACGCGCGCGGAAAGAATAGCGATGGCCCGCCCTTTGGGAACCCGAGTGTGAATGAATGACCTGGGCGGTTCGTGATATTCGCTGGTATATAATTTTCACTAGTTTTTTTTTCCATCCCTTCGTGATCATCAAGATGTCCAGAGCGATGAAGCGTAGAGCGTAACATTCGTCGAAATTATCGAGATCGGACGATTAGTGCTGCAGGGAAAAGAGATTGCTCTTAAAGACAACCTTTATCTTCATACAGCGTTTATTCTTAAATTTAAAATATTTTTGATATTTAGAGACGTTCGCAGATTTTTAACGAGTTACTTAGCTTACACGATGAATCGTTAATTGCAGAGCAGCAAAATTGTTGGATTAATTAATATTTAATTTGAAATTGAATAATTATGTTCTTGTAATTAATTATGTAATTAGAAAACATAGTAAATGTGCTTTCTATAACCTGCTGCAAACATTTTGTTATATAGTTTGTTAATCAACTTCGCGCACGCAAGCTGATTGATAGTTCTGATAATTGAAAGCATACAGCAATTGACACAGCAAATTAGTATTGCATTACAATCCGAGAACCGATAGCATCACCGAGTGTCGTATTGTGCGAAATTGCATAAACACAATCGTAACGAAAAAAAGATAATATTTCTTTCTGCATAAGCAATGTTCTTAGAATGTCGCATCGACGATACCATTTGATAGGTTGCTCTTGACGATACACCGAGGTCTTCCAATAAAGATTACCATTGAAATGCGTGTATGCAAAGTTAGTAAAAATAAATTATTCTTGTAATGTTGTCTGAGAAAAAACGCACAATTATTTATAATATAGAAATCATATGCAATTAACTTGTTCTTATAAATTATTGTATAAATTATTATTGATATCAAATCTCGTATATAAAATGCAAATTCTTTTTCTTCAGTACGATATGTGCATGATAGCCGGATTATATGTTCATAATTGATAACTCAATTATATGAATTTAAAGAAAGAACGAAATGTAAGGAGTTTACGCGGAAAAAAGTCTCTCGTCTTTTCGGAGTTATCTGAGACGCGAATTGCGGCTCGCGTAACACGCTGTACATCCACAGATTAATACCGAATTACCTCCCGGCGGAATAACGCGGCACGATAACACGCCGATATGCGTTCTTTAACACGCGTTAAGAGCCACCGCAAGAAAAAAAAGTGGACGCGAGTGCGAAATCGACCGAAAAGTCGTACAAGCCCTCGCGCAACGTGAGTGCGCGCGTGTACCGCTCAATCTCGCGGCGGTTTGCGATGCTTTTTCTTGCGCGCCGAGTCGTTAAGTTCAAGCGGCACGCGGCTTCCTACAAGCACAAAGCATTCCTCGATAATTAGATACGAGATGCGTGCTCCCGCAGCAACGAAGTCGTATACTCGGTGCGCCGGGAAGTCGTATACCGCCGGCATTACACGGCGATCGTCGTCTGAACTTTCACTTCGACGCGGCCGCCGCCACTTAACGTCACGATTACAATTTTGATCGGCCGATAACAGACGGACGCTTGACGGATTTTGCCCATAAAAGGAAATGCCGTCCGCGAGCTCTCGCTGCGGGGTCACGAGCGCGCCGATACGTCCCGAATTTCCCGCGGATGATGAAATTACCGTTGGGCGAAACGGCCGATCCGCGGCGCCGGTTTAGTAATCAGCGCGTTTCGTCCTAAGTGCATTCTTTCGCCGGCGCAGCGAAAACCGTAAGGAGCCGTAAAGGAGCCTGGCAATTAATCCGTGACGTAGGCACTTCCTTATTGCCGCGGTTAATCGCCGCCGCGCGACGTACTCGTGCGCGGATAACGATAACGGGCTTCGCTCTCCTCGCAGGATACTCGCGCGCGCGCGCGCACGAAGAGATCGGCGACGCAACGGCGCCCAATCGCGATTATTCATTTCGCGTGGTGTACTTATTATCTTATTAACCGCGCGATGATGTGATATCGGGAATACGTAGTAGTGGTGGTAATGGGCGGTTTAACGCTTCGTCTGAATCGGTCCATGTATCATCGGCAAGTGGCAATAAAGAGAACCAAGTAGCGGCGCAGGCGATAACGCGAGACAACATTATTGAACTGATTAATTATTAATAGGGACGATTTTCTCACAAGCGCGACTTAATATGTTCACGACTGGAGCGTTCGCGAGCACCTCTCTCGCTATGTCCGATAAAGAAGGATCGAAATAAAGAGAACAAGTGAAAAATAATGCAGGAGCGATGTCTGAGCTAAACATATTTCAATCGCTTCGATAATCAGCGAAGGCTTCATATTCGCACGGCATAAATCCAATTTCATTTACTGCTTATTAGAGGCGGCTTCGTCTACACGGTTCGCCTCGTCAAGTTTCCAATAGAGGAAGCAAAAAAGTTGTTGTACGATTTGTATACCTTTTGCCGATCGTACCATTTATATTGCCGGTAGCATCTTCTCCGCGTTTGATCGCTCTACCAAATAAGCCGAACGCACGCGATCGGGTGATTTTAATCTGAATGATTGCCGCGAACGTACGGTAGATCGAAAGTGCCGCGCTCCGCGCGGTGGCACGCACGCGGGAAGGACACAGCGTGTCCTGACAAGGAAGTGGGTCGGCCCTGACAATTGTTTAATTGTTCGATCCGAGCGTCTCGATCGGGCGTGCACCTCGCTTTCACGTACGGACGGTCACGATCGCGCGAAGGGGAAGACCCAGATAGATATTCAGAGTTGCCTCATCAGCATCGCTAAATGAGAATATTTTATTTCACAAGCTCGCGCGATGTCTCGAGGAAGTCTCCTATGTTGCTCAGTCGACGAGTCTGTTGTTAAAACCTGGATGTGGTGCGACAAACAATCTCCTTCAATCAGATTGCAATATGCTACACATATCAGCAACACGAGCCATAGCTCGATTTTTTGCCTCCAAATCGTGGAATGATGACGGGCCGTTCTAATTTCAAACGGTCGGATACGCATGTGCGGTTGATACGTTGCGAATCTATTCGAGAACACGCGTGTACAAATGAGAAACAGTCTCCCTCATCGATCCGCGGTGATTCACCTCGAGCCGAGTGGCAGCGCCTTTCGAAGCGTTGTTGTAAAATCGGCGCGCTTTGTTGTCGAAGGTGGAGAGAAAAAATCTAGAAAACACGCACGACAATAATAATCACGGCGAGTGC